AAAAAAAAAGTTAACTCGATTTTCGGATTGGTAATAGCAAAAATATTGTTCACTATGCTCTAAAAAAATCTGTGTGAAAGATGAAAATTTTTGGTCAACATCTTAGGCTCGCCCAAATCCATCAAAGTTCAAGTGGTAAAAAAATAAAAATTAATAAATAAATTAACTAACACATTTTTTTACTAAAATTGCAAATATCTCGGAAGTATTAGTCCTACATAATTTGGTATATGCCCAATTTTTGTAGAGAATCGAAATAAGCTTAGAAGTTTTTTTTTTTACCACTTGAACTTTGATGGGCTTGGGCGAGCCTAAGATATGCCCTCACTTTTTGCCTTCATCGTTGTTTATCATTTATTTTTATACCCGAGCGCACTTGTGCACAAGGGTATATTAACTTTGTTCACATAACGGTTGTTTGTAACAGCCAAAACGAATCAAGATAGATATGGACAAATGTATACATAAATGATCAGAATGAAAAGAGAACTCAGGTTGGTATTGAAAATTGACGAAATCGGTCTGTAACCACGCCCATTTCTGATGTAACGGTGTTTTCGAAAAATGCAAAAACTGCGATATTTCAGTAAATATTAGATGCAAATTGTTGAAAATTAGTATGTGGAGTAGAATTGTGGTAAAAAATATTATTATGTAATTTTTGGAAAATGGGTTTGGCACCGCCCACTTATGATGAAATGCTTTATCTCAGTAGCCACTTAACCAATCCCTACCAAACTCGATACGAGGCTTGGGTAGGGTCTAGCTAAGAAATCTGTTGCAAATCTTTGAAATCGGGTAATAACCACGCCCACCTTCCATATAACGGTAATTTACAAAAACAAGAAAATTGCTATAAATCAGTGACTACTGGAGCTAATTCACTTAAAATCGATGATTGCAATAACCACTTAGCATAAGATTAGAATATTATAAATTTTTGGATACTAATGGTCCGCATGACGTCAAATCATCATCAAAATAACGGGGTCTTATCCGAGTCTGTTTTCTATTTCATTGAGCGGGGTTTTAACGTGGCGGGACCCAAACCAGAGGTTACGTAGATATAAATATCTGCACGTCGTGAGCTGTGATTTGAACCGTACGCAAAAGAATAACTTCTGGCCACTACCAGGTGAATGGCAGGCAGAAGCTTTTCCCCACTTTCGTGGACTTCTGCATACGGAGCCATCCTCCAAAATAATAGGAATACGATATTTTGACCGGTTTTTGACAATTTTTTAAAAGGAATTATCTAACAAAAACCACATAAATACAAATTTCAAAATCTGTGCAAAAATTATAATTCAAACTTTTTATTCAGAATTTTTTTTTCTGAGTTATGACAGCATTTTAGTAAATTTGCGATATTTCATTTCAAATGCATATGCATGCATGTATGTATGTGCATAATCACTATGAGAAAGTAAAATTTGTTTTAGAGTAAGTTTTATTGAAAAGAAATAGCGAATCAATAGAGCTATAATAACTGTGATACAAATTTAGGAATCTACTTAGACTAATTGACCTACTTTGTTCTTGACAGGTAAAAGACAAAGTTGAATCCATAATTGGAGTGAGAACACACGTACGACGGTTCCATCCATTTAGTTTGGAATAATATGGATGTATTTCAAGACATGTTTGCTGAACGTGGTTGGACTGATGAGTGTGATAAATTGCCAAATAAAACAACTATTTTTACCACGGACTTCAATGGTATTCCGGAAACATTAGTATTGAACGTTATATCATGGCTGTTATTGATTGGATTATTTACCGTATTGCGACATCAGGCCGGTGACTATGGCCGGTTGGCGCTTGTAAATAGCAATGGCAGTAAAAAACGTTGGACTGAAGTGTTCTATTCGCGTGCAAGTATGGTTGATACGCCCCAGCCGCAAGCAACCACCAGTCGTATGCAAAATGGTGCCGAGGAAGGTCGTGGTAGTCTTACATCGAATGCTTCTGAACCCCCGTTGTCGCCCATTCATTCCGACCAAGGAATTTTCGCTTGGATTAGAATAACATGGAAACTACGCAAGGAGCAAATACTGTTGCATACCGGACCAGATGCCGTTCATTATCTTTCATTTCAACAACATCTTATGGCAGTAATGGCTATAGTTACCTTGGTTTCCTTGATTATCATATTACCGGTAAATTTATTCAGTGGACCTACTGAAGGTAGATCCGATCTCAATGCGTTTGGACATACAACAATAGAGAACGTGCCTTACGAATCGCCCTGGCAATGGGTACACGTTATCGTCACGATTATATATGCGCCGCTGATTGTGCTGGTTATGCGACGCTCTTCCGGTCGTAACGCCTTCAAAACAGCATCCACGCGTACTATTATGATATCCAACATCTCCGCAAGCGATCGTAATAAAACTGTTATTCGTCACTATATACAAGAATTGTTTCCGGATGTGAATATCGAGGATGTACAAATTGCATACAACATATCCAAATTAGCAACACGAAATGCCGAATATGAAAAGATATTAGATGCACGAATGTTTTGCGAACATCATCGTGACCGTGATACACTACAGGTAAATACTTTATTTCGCACATATTCGATCGATATATATTTTTTATTTCGTAACAAAAAATAATTAAATAAATTTCAGCTTTGTACAAAGATCGGTCGATTATCCACTAAGAAACTAATAGAATTCACATTACATTTACATTAAAAACCAGTGTTTTGAAAAAAATCGCAAATGAATAACATTAGTTTTTACAAAGTTGTACATGCATACATTTGTACACAAAATAATAGGAAAGCGATATTTTGACCAGTTTCGGCTATTTGTCTTTTGTTTATTTAATGTTAATAATTTTTTTATAAAAGTCTACAAATTTTCACCAAAATTTCAAACTTTTTATTCAAAATCTTGATATGCTGTTTTGTAGCCCATTTAATTCTAGTATAATAAAGTGCAAGTTTCAAGTTGGTAAAAAATCCCGTTGATATTTGAAAATTTTTCTAGTTGAAGGTGTTTCACGTTTTTTCCATACAAAGTACGTTCGACAATTTTCTTTTATGTGGAGGACGCTGCAGTAAAACAAAAATTGCCAAAAACCAACGGGATTTTTTAGCATCTTGAAACTTGCACTTCATTATACTAGAATCACATGGGCTACAAAACTGAATACCAAAAATTTTTCTACAGATTCTGATTAAAAAGTTTGAATTTTTGGTGAAAATTTGCAAAGCCTTAGCTACTTAAAACTTGCACTTTATTTACCGAAATTCAATAAACTACAAAAATGCATACCCAAATTTATCCTAAACTATCTCAACGAATGAGTGGAAAATCGCCCTACTTCGGCAGCCAACATTTTATAAAAATTTATCGAATCAAAAACTAATTGTCGATTCTGTTATAAAGTGAATGCGACAGTATAGGAGAGTCAGCATACGACTTTAGCCATTTTTCTTCTTCGTTTTACAGTTTATAATTTGTTTTTTTTTTTGTGTTTTCCAGGTTCAACCGAATTTATGCTCCTGCGCTAAAGAAAATGCATACGCCTACTATCAACGCGAAGAGCAAAAACTAGCTGGAGACGTCGCACGTTTGCGAGCTGCTGCACTTAATGAACCACTTGGCATTGCCTTTATCACTGTTTCTACTGTACACGAGGCCCAAAACATTGTTAGTCACTTTACACCTGGTACTTATAGAAAGTGGAATTTGGAGTTCGCGCCTTCACCAGATGACCTGTTTTGGGAGCATTTGAATGTCAGCAAAAGTAATTGGTATCTCAAATGGGGAGCCGTAAACTTCATTCTATTTCTAGCCCTTTTCTTCCTCACAACACCGGCAATCGTGCTGAACTTTCTAAATACTTATGCCTTGGCTAAAGGCAATATATACACGATATCGCCACTAGTGTCAGAGTTTTTGCCAACATTGTTGTTGTGGACACTTGCAGCACTGATGCCAGTGATTGTCGCCTTCTCCGATAAATGGTTGGCACATTATACACGTTCTTTACAAAATTATTCGATTATGATTAAGTGTTTTTGCTATTTATTATTGATGATTCTCATTTTGCCTTCATTGGGACTAACATCAGCACAAAAGTTAATCGAATGGTCAATTAGCAACGATACCATACGCTGGCATTGCGTTTTTATGCCGGACCGCAGTTCATTCTATGTTAACTATGTTATTACGGCTGCTTTTATTGGTACGGCACTGGAATTGTTACGATTTCCGGAGCTCATCGTTTATATTTGGATGTTGTGTACGGCCAAATCGAAAGCTGAAACGCCATACATACGCAAATCGATATTGATCGAATTTCCGTTTGGTATTCACTATGCTTGGACAGTATTGGTATTCACTATTTCTACGGTTTACAGTGTTTCTTGTCCACTAATAATGCCGTTCGCAATGATATATATCTGTTTTAAACATTTTGTGGATCGTCATAACCTATATTTTGCTTATGGCCCTTCAAATATGATATCAAGGAATGGAGGAAAAATTCATTCGACTGCAGTCACAATGACCAAATCTGCAATTATAATTCTGCTCTTGGTAATGGCAATGATCTCAGTTCTACGGGAAAGAGGCAATGCACGTTCCATTATACTTCTTATTACGCTCGTGCTAACATTGACATTGTTTACGTTCATGTCGCCTATAAAACGTTGTGCGTCAGTACCCCGTCCCAGTGTTGTAGAGATGGCTGGCCCAGCGCCAGTGTACGTGCCTGAAGTCTTACGACCGCGCGCAGCTGTTGCTTCAGCAGCGACGCACAATCACGGCGCGACTAATGGCGGCGGTATTACAGGCTATGGTTCAGATAGTGTGTCCGATTTTGATATTAGCTCACAATGTAGCGTCAATAGCGTAGATGCTTGAAGGAGAAATTTTGTTAAAAATCGGGTCATAGATAGATACGAATAAAAATCGATAATAAACATTTTTTAAAGCCTTGTTAAAAAATATACGAAACTAATAATATTTACATTCGGATTGAGGATCACAATTAAGGAATTTACTGCATTTAGTTCGCTTTGATTTTACAATTTGACATCAGCAAATGAGATAAGTTTGAAAGTAAGTGAGAAAGATTAGTTTTTACAGTACGACCTCCACAAATGCAAGTATGTATGTATATAGATAAAAAATATTTATTAATACATACATAGATTCCAGAAATTAACTCACAGGTAATGTTGTTAATACCGAATGATTATTAAAATAAAAAGTTTTAGTAATTTTTTCTTCTTGATTTCGAAAAGCCAAAAGACTTCTTCAACGAGATCGCTACGCCGATCGTTCGATAACCTCAATGAAAACGGGTCCACAAAAATAGGCAAGCTTTTGTAGTGATTTTGCTACAGCAAAAGCTTTAATTATACATATATTACTGAGTATTTTCAAACAGTCCAGATTTCATTTAGTTGCATTCAAAAAGCTTGTTAAGACAACTCTAAAGTAATACATAGTCCTTGTCGGCCTACAATTCTATAAAATGTATCATACATCAGTACATACGTACTGGATATCATAAAATTTAAGGCTCAATCGTGGTTTTTCTCTTATTTTATTTTTTATTTGCTCCGATTTTTTAAGATATCAGTTTAAATTTTATGTACATATGTATGTATGTGCATATTGAAGATGCATATAATTAGCGACCAAAAGTACGTTTCAATATTGTGTTTGATAAGAATAAATGTGATATATTAAACAAATTTATAAATAAAAACATCACTTCGTTTGACATTATAAATTATATTCTCTGGGATCGTGTCCCTCAATTAGGCGCTACTATAAATTTTGTATTAACGCAGCTATTACGATATTATACTCACAGTAATGTTAACAAACCATATTGTTTTATTTATCCTTTGAAGACACAAAACTGTTATGAATAGCATAAGTATATTGTAAATAGTAAGTATTTATGCATGTGTACTTATAAAAAAAGAGTGCGCATCTAAGTTTATACATAATATTACACTAAAATAATGTTCTATACGAGTAGCACTAATCATTATTCCGTTTTTATTTCGATTGGATTTTAGATGGTAAGTAAATTGTGGATTAACAAAAATATTGTTTTAGCAGCTGAAACCTTAAATTTTATTATATATATATATTTAGAACACCACCAAGCTTTAAGGGCGATCTCCCTAAATGAGAAATCCCTTTGGCTTGGTTTCGGAGCAATAAGAGAGACTTTTCGGTTTTGTACTCCTGTATTAATCGCTTAAGAGCAAAAAGCGATGACTCAGAGTAATCAAGGAGTGTTCTTTTTAAATGATTTTAGAGCCAAAAGTACTGTAATTTAAAGGAAGTTGTCTGCCTTTGGAATAAGTTATCATAAGAGAAGAACAGTATGAAACAAAAATCTTACGGAAAATAAGTTTTAAAAGGAAACAGGCATGCCGCGAATATTTGAACAAGATCTATCGGTATGCACTACGCCAACTACATATTTATTTATTATTATGTGTGTTTTAATGTACTTAATGACTGAAGATTAAAATAGATTAGCTGAACAAAATCGATTGTTCATGCGACTGACCTCTTTTGGCGTTCTTTTGGAAGATATTTTAAAATTGCTAAAACCGAAAAAAAAAAACAAAATTTAGGATTTATGGGAGTACTTATTCTCTTATTACTCGTTGGGAGGTTTGTTGGATGATATTTCTGTGTGTGCTCCCTGTTTGATTGTTAAGGAGTTACAAAGGGTTTCCCCGCCCTCGTAGGACATACACATTTTTTTGTATTTCTTAATTACTTAGTCGTATCGATATAATTTTAATGTCATCATATGGTTTGTCAGTTTTAGGATTTGCTTTTGCGTTGCAAATGTTTTGTACCACTTCCATGCCGCGAAATACACGCCCAAAAACTGTATGCTTGTTATCTAACCATGGCTAAAAGCAGAAGAAAATTATCAAATAAATTATCCAATCGAATTCAAATACATATCGCTAATTTATAATGAAGAGTTGCTAAGTCCCTTTAAAAAAAATATATGTTTTGATGAAAGAACTAAGAACAATTAAAAATACATTTTTTCCTAAATGTTTAACAAACATTCATTTTTTAACCGACTTCAGAAAAAGGATAAGGTTATCAATAAATGAATTTGAAAGGTTTTTATTATCTCTTGTAAAATTAAAAAAAAACTGGACTTGGCAAAATTTCACTCTAAGCTAGGGATATGTACATTAAGGCGTTTCACGAAAAAGGTTTAACGTGTGTCAGTTATATTTGAATACTCGAGAAAAAATTTTGGGTGTAAATTTTTTTTTAGACACTCGCTAAAAAGCGTTAAATTCTTTTTTTTTTTGTTATAACTTTCTTATTTGATATCCGATGTTTATATCGGCGAAAAGGTCTTGGTTTAAAAATTCGTTTTGATTTAAACCTTCACTCATTTTGGAAATACTATCCCCAGATTTTTATTTTTAATTATTAAAGGTATAAATCAAACCGGTTTTTAAAACCGAAATTGATTAATGGCTGATTATAGTCCTGAGCAAGGCCTTTTCGGCGGAAGAATTTGCAAATCGGAAATCAAATAAGAAAATGATAGCAAAAGCGCGATTAAGAGGTTTTTAGCGGGCGCCTTAAAATAATGTTTACACCCAGAATCTTTTTTCGGCATAAGTGTTTAAATAAAACTTATACACGCTAAACTTTTTCTCTTTCATGTGCCGTGATACGGCTTAATGTACATATGCATGTGCATATTTTATTAAAGAACTTACCGTCGGTAGGACAGTTATGAAAAATTGACTGCCATTCGTGTTGGGTCCAGCGTTGGCCATACTTACGGTATAAGGACGATCATGTTTTAGACTAGATACAAACTCGTCTTTGAAGTCATGTCCCCAAATCGATTTACCACCAGTGCCAGTACCAGTAGGGTCCCCAGTTTGTATCATAAAACCTTTTATGACTCGATGGAAAATGTGACCATTATAATAACTGAAAAATAGATTTGTTAAGTGTATATATGTATTTATTATTGCTTAGGCTATCCGCATATTCGAATAATCGTGTATACGGATAAAATCCGGATATTCGATATTCTAAATAGAATGGACTACCGCTGAATACATCGTAGTCCGACTTTCGTAAAATCTTCGAAAAGGCGATCACCGAATCCGAATTGCTACGAACAGATGCATTCAACGTATATGCTGCGTTCGTAGCTATTCGGATTCAGTGATAGCATTTTCGTAGATTTCACGAAAAATCGGAGTACGATGGATTCAACGATAGCCCTGGGTTCGAATCGTCACATACGACATCGTACTACTCGTCACGCAAAAACACATTTTTCGGATTAAGACATACGTGAACGTACTTTTTGTACCATTCAGCTTATACTGCTTGACGTATCACGTAATTTTCTTTCGGATGTTACGATTCGGGCCCTGAGTATTTGAACGCATTTGTAAAATTGTTATCAAAATTACTGAGTCCATCGAGTTGCAAAATAAATAATGGATTACACAAACAATTCTTATTTAATTTTTAGAATCGAATATCTGGATATCTTTACACCTTTCGGATATCCGGATATCAATAGACTATTCGGATATCCAGATATTAGAATACTTTTCAGATATTCGAATATTCGGATTATCTAGATAGTCTAAAAATTCTGATAGAGCTTCCAGCTCTAGTATTTATGTACCCATTTTTAGAATGAACACAGAAGTTCTCTACTGTCTTTGGACATTCCTTGAAGAAAAGTTTCATGTGTATATCGCCCATTGTCGTATGTAAAACAGCATTTTCATAGACACGTTGTGTTCCTATTTATATTCAAAAAAAAAAAAATATTACTTTTGTACTCAATTAATTATAGAAAAATAATGCAAGTTAACCTTCATCTGTTCACAACACATCAGTATTGTAGCATGAAATTTTTAAAACATGTGACTTAAGATTTGTTTTCAAGATATACGTGCATAGGTTCTATCTAAACTCTCAAGCATATTTGTAAATATCAACAGTTTACCTTGGCCTTCTGGAACAGCGATTATATCTTCCTTTGAAGGTTTTTCATTGAATACGTCTCTATCCACATCTTGTAAATCAGATGGTAACCGTCGACTATATAGATAAAAACGTGGTTTTCTAGAGTATGGAAAGGTATTATCAAAACATTTTTTTGAATACGAAATATTTCACAGCACATATACTTGTAAGCGGCACAAAACACCGTGGGATCATTAGCTAAGGATTGCAGTGTAGGATTGTCGCTAGCTTCTTGTTCTAGTGTAATAGCTGCCTTAGATTTTTTTGCTTTACCCTAGAAGTAGTTGTAAATATGTACATTCATAGTATGTATTGTGCGATCAAAAGTAAAAATTCTGATTTTAAATTACCTGGAATAAGGCTATATGCAGTGGGCGTATATTATCAGTTTTGCCCAGTATTGACACACATCTATTGGTCTCAACGTTAATAACTTTAATACCTAACATGGTTGGATACATCATGAAATGTCCGCTGGCATCGAATAGTATATTGTTGCTTGTATTGTATTCAGACTTATCCAAATCACGTTCCACAGCCATTCTAATTTGATTAGATTTCATTATTAAAGTTTTATAAGAATACTAACAGTTATAGAGATGTAATCGTCATTCGTCATCTAAGGGCTATATGTATGTACATAGGTAAGTATCTATGCAATGGAAGCTCTCAAATATATTTTCATCAACGTTTTAAAATGTTTGATTAAGTTAAAAAATTGCACACATCGCACTTTTAATAATATCCCTGCAACCAAAGTTCCCGAAATCTTAACGAAATATTTAGGAGTATCTCATTTCTGTAACGATTTCTTTACGACACGAACTCGTAGAGAAATTTCTGTACGAAAAATAAAGAAAATTTTGAAAAACTTCTGCAAGAAATACTTCACACAGCAGCATTATTTTCATTTCTTTACCGATTTTCTTCCGAAAGTTCGTAAAAGAATCGAATGTGCACAGTTTATTTCATTTTAGAATATTCGGCAAAAATCGGACGAGATCTTTACGAATTCCTTAAAATTTCTCTACAATTCAGAATACTCTGAAAAAATGGTTTGCAGGGATAACGAAGTATTTAAAAATTTCATTTGTGGGAAAAACGCAAAAATGGACTATGATTTTAGTTTAAAATACAATTCAAAGACCTAGTGGTACAGCTGTACCAAGGATGTCAGTAGAAAGGGTGAGAGAAAGTATGTAACAGAAGTGTTGACATTATAGAATTGGTGTTAAATAAAATAGTACAGAAAAAGGCATCCCATGCTCTTTGGCTATAAAATATTTTTTTTTTCTAATTGGTTTATTCAAAATTTAAGTAAATTTATTTTGTGTATTGTCTATAGCTCATGGACAGTGTATTGATTAATAATTATTTTTTGCTTTTTAGTTTGGCTACCTCTTTAAGTTTTTTATTCAGCAGCCGGATTCCAACATTCGCTATAGCTAATTTTGATCGCAAAAACTCTCCAAAAGAATAGCCGGCGCGCCTAACAACACGCAACATCTAGTTACACACTCATACTGCCAGATTTTGCTGAGTACACATTGCATCTCTTACATTTGCATGTTGTATACTTTTTATTTATAGAATTTCGGCGACGGAAATTAAGCGTAGCGATTGTCAGAATTCTATTGCAGTTTTAAACTAAAATTAATCTTATCCTTTTTTGTGGGGTTTCAAATCAAAAGATGATCAACTTTTAGAAAAAAAATTACAAAATTACACAGGTAACCCGCCTGGGGTTAATCACTGCAAATTAAGTAGATATTGCAACAATATATAATAAATCTTATCAAAACTTTTGGAGACAACGTGCTGCTACAGCATCAACCTTATTGCCTTACCTGCGCCCGAATTCCATGTTTGGCAAAGCATGTGGGGTCTGCTGCATTTGTGTGTATGTTGTCAGAGCTTCATCAAAAACGCGTATCAACTTTCCTGTGATAAACTGGAAGACTCTGACTTTCCGGTCATTTGAAATAGTTGCGAACCTGCGACCATCCGGCGATGCGGCAAGACCAGTGACAAGCGCTTTATTTTTCACAAATTCGAAGAGACCTAAGCGAAATATTCATATTGACATATACAGTCACGTGAGAAGTAATAGGTATTAAATTATTTTAACCAGTTTTAATTGTGGAAATATTCGACAAAATTTTATCTGGCCAAGGACTGTCACTCCAGCAACACTCCCCAAAAAGTCTTTGGGGAATTTGTATGCTGCTACAACAACAACAAAATTTTACAACATCAAACTTTTTATTAAAAACCTTCAGAAAAATTCTGTTTATTGCTTAATAAATGAGCAGATTGGAAAGTGGGCATTTCTAACCGCTACGAAAGCTCGACTGGGCGGATCGGAAACTCGGCCTTTTCTACCACCCAGTAGATATCCAGATACGGAGCAATCCAAAAAAGTATTGCGCGGGTTGGAAGCTCGGCATTTATAACCATCTAGCTAACCTCCTGCCAATGTGGCATGCTTTTATATTAATATAAAATAATTGTTAAAAATTTCCGTAGACCATACCATATATTAATATTTAATTTTTAATCTTAATCTCATTCTAAGATTGATAAATCTTTGTTATAAGTCTAACAGACTGTAAAAAATAAGTAAATAAAGTGCAAGTTTCAAGTATCTAGGAATTCGCATTTGATTTTTTGCGGAAATTTCTCGAACATAATTTGTATGGAAGAAAATGCGTGGGCTATAAAACTGCAGGCTAGAATTTCTCTAAAGATAATAAAAAACATAGTATGGCACACATATCATTGTTTAAGGTACAAAACCGCGTAATTGACATTTGCTGCCAAATATTGGACTTGCCCACACAAGCTCTTGGCTCAATCCTTACCCATTCGTCCTGAAATATACTAGTCAGAAATGCGATTGCTTTATAAAAAAAGAGAACCTTTTTGAAATATGAGTGTTTTTAGTCTCTAGAAAATAATTTATGCAACCTCACATACGCGGTCTTCCATTATCTTGATACGTGGTTTTGCATTTTGTTGATACGCGGTTTTGTACTTTAAGCGACGATATGTATATGCTAACCTGTATCCAACTTAGATTCGAACGTTACGATTTTTTGTGGGAATTTGAAGTCATGCTTAGAGTTTTGCCAGTACTCAAGTATTCCATTTTTATCTACTGAAATAACTGTTTCAAACGACAAATTGTAGCACATTGCTACTACTGGCGCGGAATGCAGTTTATCTAGGATGTGGAGTACGTTGCCATTGCCTTGCCCATCATAAATAAAAATTTTGCTACTATCTTTGTCAGCGCTGAAAATGTATGAATGTGAATGATAGAAGTAAGATAGCAACAATACGAAATGTTTTTACATACACTGCTATACTATGCACGGCATCGCCGGGAGAATGTATCCACTCAGTACATAATGGTGTAAAGCCCAGTTTGATAATGTTTATCATATCAAAGTTGACAACGTCAAATATTTTAGCACATTTGTCTGCAGAGGCTGAACAGAGGAGTGTACCACTCGTATTGGTGGTTAAAGAGTTGATCGGCACTGGAAAGAACCATAATACGTATGTATGTATAATAAAGTTTAGTTTAAAACCAACTCAGTCATGTTGATACGAACTTAAATGACTTCGAAAATGCTTTACAAATTCAATGCCTTCCTCCATTTTTTTCCAAAATTTTATATGTCCATCGAAGCTTGCTGTGGCAATGAATTCTGTCTTGGTGCTCACCACATGTGTTATTATATCGCGATGCATGTAGCTTTTTTCATAGCTTTCTGCATTCGGGAGGTTTTCTAAATACACCTTTTCGTAAGGTAATACCTTCCGCTTTTTCGGCTTTGATGCGGCCGACTGTTCTCCTGGCATAGGACCAATCCAGCCATCATCATCGTCATCAGCTTCTATAGCATCCTTTTGGACTTGATCTCCAACTTCTTCTGAATTACTTCGTTTCTTCGCACCTGTTTCCTCCATGTTTATAGAAAGGTTTTTTTTATTTATATGTTTAAATTAGACAAAATGTGTATATATTCGCACAGGTCATATATATCGTAATCAAAACACAAAAAAGCAAACCCAAACAGCTGTGTGGAATATACCCATGTCGACATCATGAACCAAAAAGACAAGATCACGCGGGCAGGAGAGTAGCCCGTTAGAAACGCATTTAGGAAAAAAGTTTAACGACTTTGACATTAGCCGTTTGTTTACATTTCTTCGTTGTTTACAATTTGGTGGTGGCTTTTTACTGCAATTTTCTTCATTTTCGCTTGTGACAACGTGTGTACACATAAGATAAAGAATAATTTAACACAACGGCATGATTTTTAGAAGAATTTGCATAATAAAAATGATTTTTCATGCGTTCAACAATTTCGCGGTTTTCTCCGTTCTCTTCGTTGTTTACTTCTTACAGCAAAGATGGCGTCGAGATTTCGGCAGCTAGAAAACAACTTTTTTCGTATTCGCCATACAAAAATTTTTGGAGGAGCCTACATTTTGCATCAATTTTGCAGCAAAAAAAAAAACAAAAACAGAACACAGAGCCAAAGAAGTGTCAAATCGAATTAAGATTGTACTCGTGGGAATGGTGTTGTTCGCGATCGTAACTGGGGAACGAACAAAGTAATACAAGATGGCGTGGGAAAAAGGTATTAGGAATTGTTAAAAGATGTTACATTTACAAGGATTATCCTTGTTTTCGAGCTTAACTCCCTAATCTGTAATTATAACAAGAGATTAGCCGTATAAAATTCGTCCCTTGTTAATCTGTAATTATAAAATAATCTCAGATTTAACCGATAACTTTTCGGTGTCCATCCTAGTTTTATCGATTGTTTTTGCGAAAGAGAGGAGAAATGCCGAATGTAAAAGTAAACAAAAATGTACGCTAGCAAGTAAAAGAGGTTTGTAAAGGTATTTTTAATAAAATGTTAAGTTAAAATATATTTATATTGCTTATTATAGCAGAAAAACGTGATCACGGTGGCACAGAGAAGAAACATAAATTTTCCTTGAGATGTGGGAATAACAAGCACAACAAATTTGACGGCTAATAATCTGAGATTTGCCTGTGTAAACGGGGTGATTAAAAAACTAGCTTTGATTGAGATAATATTGATATGTGAACATAGTTTAAGAAACAAATTAGCCATACAAAATTCGTCCCTAGCTAATCTATAATTTTGAAATAATCTCAGATTAAACCGATCAAATTTCGGTGACCAACCTGGTTTTATCGATTATTTTTGCGAAGAGGAGAAGATACGTCATATGTGAAAGTAAACAAAACCGGAGGATAGGAAGGAAAAGAGGCTTTTTACACATTTTTAATAAGATGTTGAAATAAAATATGTTTAAATTTTTTGTTTTATCAGTAAGAGGTGATCACTGTGCAAAAAGAAGAAACTGACCTACATTTTGACTTGTGGAGAAACAAGCACACCAAATTTGACAGCCTTTGCTATGTAAACGGGTTGATTGCTGAACGCGATTTTTTAGTGATTATTTTTATGTTACATTTCTTATGAAGATTTGGGTATCTAATGAAGATTAATAAAATTTAAAAAGTGTAATTTGTCAATGCCCAATTATCATTTAAATTATTTATCGAAACCAGTTCACAAATCAAAACTGGCAATTTGTTTGAGTACTAAAGTTACATCACCAATTTCATACAGAAATTTAAATATTTTTAGCAATAACTTACATTTTGCATAAATTTTGTAGCGAAGAAAAAAAACCAAACACACAGACAGAGAACTGTCAAAACGAATTAAAATTCACGGTGCCGTGGGAAAGTAATAATATTAACTACCCAATAATAATCATGATCCAACTACACAAGATCTGACAAGATGAAGCAAAAGAAAAAAGTAATTTTTTGGCTGATATTTGTAATTTCGGCGCCATTTTATTTTCTTGGAAATGAACCAAAAGTAAATAAAGAATATGAAGACGAAGGATAAAGAAAACAATTAAGAAAATGTTGAGCGCATGTTTGCGTTAATCATAAAAATAATAATTTTTGTACGTGTTCTTGCAACCAATTACCACGCACATCATTTCACCTACATTTGAATAAAAATTTAATTGAAAATCGCTTAAAATTCACTGAAATAAACCCCCGCCAAAGTACACTTAAAAAAGAGATATGAAAAACAAAACATAAATAGCAAACTTCAAAATTACGTACGTCACACGCTTTTCTCAAATGCCATTGCAAATAGCTCCTTCTCAACCGGTCAGATCTGTTCCAACTGGTTCATGAATAATCATGATGAATAATAATATAATCGGATTGATCGTAGATTTCTCAAGAATGATCGCAATCATACACCCATTCCTGTGTACAAATTTTATAACCCACTGAACATACCGTAAAAATGCATCACAGCAGGAGAAAACAAAATGGGCAAGAAATCAAAACAACGAATTTGAGAAAGCGGGCAGGACGCTAATAAAGATTAAAATAGTGGAAAGGGATAGTAGCAGACGCGAAAAACGAAAGTGAAAAAAACGCCAAGAATCACAGAAATTTGTGAGAAAAAGCAAATTGGCGGTGTGTTGTGAAAAATTAAAGTGAAAATAATCTCAGTAGGAAAGGAAATGAGTGCAATGGCGGACGGTAACAATGAATCAAGTGGCGAAAGTGGCAGCGGCAGTGCCGGCAGCATTACAATAACCGCACCAGCGGAGCACCCTATTCGAATCAATAAATGGCGCGTTCGTGAAGGTTTCCCCATAACTTCTTCCCAAGTGATTTTATTATACGAAATCACAAGTAGCGACAATAGCTCGGAAGCGTCGTCTACAAAAACTTTAGCTACGTCGGTAGTTTCAGTTGATAAAACTTTGCTCAAATTAAAAGCGAATCGTGTAGGCGTGGTAAAAAAGCGTTTGTACAAGGAGGGACAGTTGGTACCGCAGGGGTAAGTATGAGCACTGCAATGTGTATTTAGTCGTTCTCTAGTAATAAACCTTTTCCAAATACAAACCTTATTTCAAGGAATGAACCGAGTGCGTGTCGACACTCGATATGCACATTTTACTGTCTCAAATTTAATCATTAAAACTGCAAGGTTTAGACACACGGTTTTACTTTAAAATGCTTCTTTATTTTGCATTTCTTCTGCAGAGCGACGATTTTGGAGCTGGCCGAGTGTGCCCACACTACAGTGATAAAAGATATGTGTGCTGATTGCGGTGCGGATTTGCGCCAAAACGAAAATGTGAGTATACGAGTAATTTCTGTATGAATCGATTGGGGGGTTTGAGATCGAAGTATGGAAAAGATTTTGCGTTTAAGATGGATTACTTTGAAGTACGAGAATGTAACGAAGAAAGTAGAAATCAAAAGAAATAGGCGGCTGATAAACAAAACAAAGTTTTATGCGCGGGTGTTTTGTGGTGCCGCGCTGAATGATAAGTAAACAGGATTGCCATAGCAGTTCGCGTTAGGAAAAGTAACTTAAGGGTTGAATTTATGTATGTTATATAAAGGAAAATGTATGTATATGCGTATATACAATTTGAGTTTATGCTTTCTTAAATGTATGTATCTTAGGGTATAATTTTTCCATTTTTTGATTATGCAATTACTGAAGGAACGAAGGAGTTATGAATGTGTAATTCACAGTATCTTAAAATTTATTAGCTGGTTGCATATTACATACTTGTACAGAAAATGTATTGATTTCATATGCTCAGCACTTACGAAAATTTAGTAAAGATATTTGTATCCTAATAGTAATGCTATTTTCATTTCTGTTCGATGCAGGGAAATACATCCGAGGCATCTGTACCAATGGTGCACTCCATCCCCGATCTTAAAGTAACACAAAAACTTGCACAAAAACTAGGCCACGATGACACGCGTCGTTTGCTTGAAGATCGCAAGCTCGTACTCCTAGTCGACTTAGATCAAACGGTTATACACACAACAAATGATAACGTACCGAATAATATTAAAGGCATTTACCACTTTCAACTTTATGGTCCACACTCACCGTGGTATCACACACGTCTGCGTCCAGGCACACCGATTTTCCTTGATCGTATGTCAAAATTTTATGAACTACATATCTGCACTTTTGGAGCACGAAACTACGCACACATGATTGCACAATTACTTGATCCTGAGGGAAAGTATTTTTCACATCGTATTCTATCTCGCGATGAATGCTTTAATGCAACAAGTAAAACTGATAATTTGAAGTAAGTTTTGTATTGTTAAATAATGATCTATGAATATATTTAAAGTATGTTCCTTTTAATTCTAGAGCTCTCTTTCCTAATGGAGATTCTATGGTTTGCATAATCGACGATCGCGAAGATGTATGGAACATGGCATCCAATTTGATTCAAGTCAAGCCTTATCATTTTTTTCAACATACAGGCGACATAAATGCGCCACCTGGTTTATCAAAGCATGAATTAGATGGAGAAGGTCTTGACTTCAAAGGTATGCATCGATAATTCACCTGCATAAAAATACATACACACACATACATATATACATATCTATTCATAATGTATTATGATTTTTATTAGATTTAAAAAACCTTACAACCGATACGAGCAAGATGGATGCAATAGATGTAGAGAGTAAGGAAAAGGTTGCCGAATCAGAGTCCTCCGATGGCATATCTGAGCGTTCGGAGACTGATACAGAAAGTAAAAAGGATGATATCATTGTTGATGTCGTTAAAAACGACATTAAAACTAATACAGAAGTCATTGAGACATCGAACGTTGAACCAGTTGATGTAGAGTTAGATGTATTGGCGAAAGATAATGTTATTGACATCCCTGATGCCAACAAGGCAACTGTTTCTATATCTGACGAAAATTATGAAGACAAACTTGGTAATAAACTGACATCAATGGAAACTGAAGCCGAGACAACACCCAAAATAAAACTTCCTGCTGACCCCCATCAGCAAATTGAAATCGAAGATCCAGACGATTATCTTATGTATTTGGAGGAAATTCTTAAAAACATTCATATGCGATTTTATGCTATTTATGACGAAACGCAGGAGATACCTGACTTGAAGATTATTGTTCCCAAAATTCGTTCTGAAGTACTTCGCGGGAAGACTTTAATTTTTTCGGGTCTAGTACCTACTAATATGCAACTAGAGCAGTCCCGTGCTTACTTCATTGCAAAAAGTTTGGGGGCAAATGTGTCACAAAGTATTGGACCAGGTAATCTTTAAAATTCCTTAACACAAACTTTATGCATAGTTTCTAAAGGTATTACTTTGAATTTAGAAACGACACATCTTGTTGCTGTAAATTCTGGTACGTTCAAGGTAAATGCTGCCAAAAAGAATCCGAATATTAAGGTCGTCAATGCAAACTGGTTGTGGACATGTGCTGAGCGCTGGGAGCATGTAGATGAGCGGCTCTTTCCCCTGGATCGTAAAACAAAAAGCAGACAACGAAAACCACCAGCACATTGCCATAGTCCTGAACATGTCGTTAACTACAGTGACAAGTCAGAAATATCGCCGTCGAGTAGCGCGCAACAACAGCAAGCTAAAGCGCCTGAAAAATTCATAGACACAATCAATCCACTTTTATCGTTTTCAAATGCTGATTTAGCCGATATGAACAAAGAGTTTGATCAGTTTTTCGAGTCAGATTCATCCAGCGAAGATGAGCATATTAATATTGGTAAAAATATAAATATGTATAATTGGGCTTTTACCATGTCGGAATTTTTTAGAGAATCCCCCTGTAGACAAGACATTGCGTAAACGAAGGCGTGAGGAAAAGGAACAGGATCGAACACGAGAATTTTTCACGCGTGCATCGGATATTATTATGGGTCCCGGAACAAATGAGGACGCTGATAAGAGTTC